GACACACCTTGGCTTGATCTGTGCACTGATCTCCTGGAATCACTGCCTGCTTCTGTCTTTATAATCCCAGATGGCGCAGTTATAGGGCTCACTGGGGTAAAATGAAGGTCCATTCTGTAGTCGGCAGCAAACTGGTCATAGCCAGTAGCCATGTTTTGTAGTATTAGTCATTTAGTTAATTGTTTTTGAGATACTTTTAACAGCCTGTTAATCTAATCAGCACAGTTTGATTGTAGATTGTTGATAGAGATAAAACCCAGGATAGAGGGGCTCAGTGAACGTGGTCTGGACCCTGTGCAGGAGGGTCACTGTGTCAGAGACGCTGTAGAAGGACAGAGTTCCTGCCCCGTGATCCAGGTACACTCCTATCCTGGGGGAGGGGGGGGCAGATACTGCAGTTTCTACTTTATTGTGCCGGAATGAATAATGGGAGCCTAAGCAGGACAAACACCAGGACTTGTCATTGTATCCAAGCCAGCTGTCATCACCTCCTCCTTTCCTGTCAATCCCTTTATATGTGACGGCTATAGCAACCCATCCCCCGCTCCACTCAACCTCCCAGTAGCAGCACCCAGTCAGACCCTCTGTACACAGCACTTGGCGGCATGAGAAAAACTGCTCCCATTGATCAATACATAACCGTGTCTCTCTCTTCCATGTCGCCACTCTGTTCCCCTCAGACAGACGGAGTTCTTTGTTTGCTGTGTTGGGGTCTAGAGTGAGTTGACAGGAATCTGATGAAGGAGAAGATCAGAAGGTGATGGTTTGGTCTCATTCACTCCTTATATTAAGCAAGATTGTGTGCTTTTGGGTATGTTGTAATGCTTTGAAACATAAAGCTAATTTATGTAGTAGGTTAATATTTTGTAAAGATTTTTCATCGTATGTAATAGCATTTCTTACGTTTTTGAAAAATACATTTTAGAGGAAGTAATTTATAATATCACTGAAAAAAGCCTTTAGTAAATGTTTTTCTCTCCATTTTTAAATGATAATATTCTCAACATGGACACCTCACAGAACAACCTCATAAGCACAATAATATTAAACATCAGCAGTTGTGTTGCAAACAGATTCTAAGGCTCCTGACATAAACAGCTCATGTAAATGTGAAAGGAGGCAGAGGGAGAGAGAAAGAAAAGCTCCTCTAGCAGAAGAAAACGAAACACAATAAAACACACTCCACCTCATACAGGGAGAGAGAAGCGTGTGTGTGAACAGACTCACATTGTAAGAATTCTGCTCTGGTCCTCGGCACTAATACCGGTAGGATGGTGTCTTTGGTAACTAGGAGGAGACAGAGAGAAACAGGGATGTGAGTAAAAGGAATTTACTTGTGGGAGATGGACTTCACTCACTGTGGAGACACCAGCAGTATTATTACTGTGGGGACA